ACCGCCATCCGAATAAACCTCTGATTTCAAGCAAGCACCCGTGAAGACTCCGTGTTGCCATGAGAACGTCTCATATACCAATGGCACTCCTCGTGGTCTTCAAATACATTTCATATGTCATTTAGGATAAATATCATATTTTTAAGTAATCAAATGAATGAATGACCAACTGAAAATGGTAATATAATAAAAAATCAAATAAAACAGCGACCTTCTGGAACCAAAGAGAATGGCATCGATAGGTACTCCTTTTGACGATTCCCATTTATGATGCATCAGAGGGCACTGACTCGCTGGCGCAATATATCTAGCATTATAATGTGCTGGTCGACTCTTATCACCGATATGCCATTTTGATCCAGTCCAATCCTCTATTTCGACATTCTTATCCTATTCCAACATTATCATTATTACTATCTTTATGATTATCAGTACCAGCAACAATATTTTGGTCAGATAAAACCTCTACGCTTCATATTCTAGATCATTAGCATGACTTCACTAATGACTACTTTGAACCTTTAGTCAAAATGCAACCAAATCACCCCAATCACCGTGCCAAACTCTCATCGAAGTCCTGTTTCAAAATCGTTTCACCCAACTTCCAATCGTTAAAATCACAAACTCAACTGATACCTCTATCTTTTATCCCTACCTTAATCTCATCCTCTAATCCCTGCCAAAAGAATTCTCCATTTGAAGTTTCAGCAACATTCGTGAAGATTGAATTTTTTCTCAGCATCGTCATCACCGCTGAGTTCGTTCTCTTCGAGAGTCCAGGTGCGATACCGAAGAATCCAAATTCAGGATTGACCGCGTACAAACGACCACCCTCACCAATTCTCAACCATGCAATATCGTCTCCTTCAATTCCTCTTGTTCATCACAAAAATAGTTGTCATTTATTTAGGGTGAATTAAAATTAAAACTGACATGAAAAACCAAAAAGTACAGCAGTAATAATGACGATAATAATATCAATAATAATATCAGTAATAATAATATTGACAATGATAATGAATAATAATAGTAAGCATAATAATATTGTTCAAAATCATACCGATACATCTAATTTTCCATCCAGGAAGACTGGGACGAAGCATTGCCAGACTGGTTTTTCCGCAAGCTGCTGGAAATGCTGCGGCTATGAAATGTTCACGACGTTTTGGATCAACGACAGCTGTAAGTGAATTCATTTGAATTGATGCAATTTTTTATTCATATTCGTCACAATTTCATTTTCAGTAACTCACAATAACAGGAATTCATTAAGAGTAATGATCATGTAAACAAACAGTTTGGATAAAAATAAATGCAACTCACAAAAGACGGCCATATGTTCAGCGAGCCAACCCTCGTCCCTTGCAATACTCGACGCAATTCTCAGTCCCATGCTCTTACGTCCCAACAGACTGTTCGTGCCGAAACCAGATCCGAAAGACCAAATTTCGCGTTCACACGGTCGATGCACAAGAAATGCTTTTGTTGGATTACACGGCCAACATACCATATCTTTGAATCAATCACTCATTGAAAAGAAAATCAACTGAAGTGATTAACTTATAATTACAATGCATACTCCCTTATTAAAAGCTGCGCAATCAAATAAAATTTTGACAATATGCTGAACTTGATCAATAGATAATTGAACACAGCCTATATATAAACATAACAATTCAATACAATCTACTATAGATAACCTTTTCTAATACTCGGATTTTCACTGTTCTCATCACTTCCACTCAGAGGCACTCCAACAGAGTGAACACATCTTATGAAATCTCGATCACCAAGCGCTTCGAATACTCGCATTGATACACGTGTTATAATTCTCATGCAGAGCACTGCATATTCCGAATCAGTTAACTGAATTCGAGTTTTATTTCATTCACTTCATTCATTATTATCCTCCAGTTGAATCACTTTTTAAGACATTTATCTCTGTGATCATTGTTATTGTTTGTTTGGTCTTTATTATTAATTGGTACGTTGATAACAGTTAATCTTATCACTATATTTATTATTATTGTCATAATCGCTATGCTTGCTACATTATAATTACAACTATTATTGATATTATTATTGCTCTGACTGCTATTACTATTATTGCTGCTATCATTACTGCTATTATTATCATAGTTGATTTTCATAATGAATTCTATGGTTCCTTACAAAACGCTCGCTGTGATAAATCCGGTGATGCGACGTTATCACAACTAATGAATACTCATCAAACAGTAATGACTATACCTCAATACCAATCTTCGAATATCGACCATTGATAGCACCTAGTGAAAATGGAATTACATACATAATGCGACCTGTAAATTCACTTTTCAACTGTACCAAACAAATTCGTTGAATAATGCTCCTAAACTTTGAATATTAGGTGTAAATCAAAAAATGAATGAAGTATCATCTAGGATCAAAAAGCTGCGTAGAGTATTATTTTACTCTATTTGGCATGGTGTGGGCGAACGTATTCGCGAATGATTAATCCGTCAACTTGACGACGTCTCTTAAACTCGAGGTGATGAAAATCACGGAGGGATACAAGATCTGATGGCCTTTGGCGATACCGAGCTTCGATTTTCAATCATGATGTTCAGTGCGATGACCACTTCTAACACTTTATTAACGAGCGAAAGATGTTAAAGAATAAATGCTTGAATACAAACAAACCCTTCATACAACCCGGAAATCTGTTGTCAAGTTCTTTACCACATTGCGACGGTGACATCCAATTGGACATAATCGACGTAACAGAATCATTGTTTGTGTGACACAGTGTTTGATACTTGCCTGGTGTCACAGTCCATGATATACTCTCTTGTACATCCTTTAATGTGCCATTTCATATCAACTCGAA